ACTTCGTATTAACTCGCGAGCTAGCTAATTTAGATCACGATCTAGATGATCTGAGTTCGAACTTATATTCTTAAACTCGTATAATAAATGAGTTGAACCAAACTGAGCCGTGAAATACTCTAACTCATTATGAACTGAGTTGAGTCGAACAAGCTAGCTAATATTTTGGGTGTGATAGCTGGAAAGTTCATACACTAGGTAGTAGGTATACTAAATGGAAAACAAATTAAGACGATTCGGGAGCGAACAAAATCTATTAAACAAAATCAAATCTATTTGATTCGGGTGTGAATATTAAACAAATCAAATCATTTTCCTCGCTATTTTTTTAATGAATATAGCATCAAGCTGTATAAATCATTTTGTTTAGTTTTCTTGTTTCATGACTTATTTCTAAGTGTCAACCAAATATGAGTCTAAGCTTCGATCTCAACGACATTCCGAACGGGAATCTAAAGGTTCTTGATGATTTAACATCAAATGCGAAGCAAATACAAGACGATGTATTGAAGGAAATACTCACACTCAATGCTGAAACAGAGTACCTCCAAGGTTTTCTCCATGGAAGCTCTGATTGTGAGCTCTTCAAAACGAACGTACCAGTTGTGGCCTTTGAAGATGTTAAGCCTTATATCGATCGTGTCGCAAACGGAGAGCCTTCAGATGTTCTTTCAGCTCTCCCCATCACTGGATTAAATATAAGGTATAGAATAAGCTTCTTAATTGTTTTTTTTTTCCTTTTCCAAACTAATGCTACAAAGCATATTTTTCATGATCGATTAATTCTTGTGGGTTTTTTGGGTCTAGTTCTGGAACCTTAAAAGATGTTTCCTTTGAACGATAAGTATTTGGAGAACATGTGATTCATCTTGAAAAAGCAGGAACCTTTGTACAAGATAATAAACCAGAGATATGTAAGTGACACAAGTAGTTTCCAATAAAAACACACAGTCTTTATTGCTATCCCCGCAGGGCACAAATACACAACACAGCTGTTGTAATAGATACATTACACACACACTTCTATAGAACAGATCCTACAACCTATTCTACCCAGAGTTACGCGATATCACACACACGTGATTCGCTCCTGAACATGTTCCTGATCTACCCAATGTAACGCAACAACAGTTAGGAAACCTATCTCTTTCACTCAACACAACAGATCAAATGGCTCTCACTGTTTCCGAGTTCTTCAAAGACCAATTTTAGAAGAACTAGTCGGCATATGAACTATTCCCCTTCCTTTTATAGTAGTAGCAACCAACAACTCCTATAGCCCTAAAAGCAGCTCCCCCTTAATCCGAAAGGGCAACATAACTGCTCCTGTTGATGTCAGACCACCAGTCTCATCAACCTTTTCTCAATAGTAAGTAAACCCACTTGCACATTGACTTTGTGCACTTGTATCAGAACTCCTTGTTTCCCGAACCCGACTTCCCGCGTACGCTTCCTGGTAGTGCGGTACCCAACTCGAGGTACCACCTGGCGTGCCTAGTCACAAGAAGACTTTTCTCCTTAGTTTGCTGATTATTCTTTTCAGCTTCTGTGTAGCACACGAACTCTTCACTGCTTCACTGATCCTGTTGCTTCAGCAGATTCTTCTGCACTAACAATCTCCCTCTTTTTACTTGAGTATGACAATCCAAGTAACGTGCACAAGGAACAAACGAACATACACAAAGGTACATTCTGCAAACTACTCTACACACTCCAGGCATCATAACAACACTAACATAGCATGTCTGATAAAAGGTTCCACACATAGTTATACAAACCCAACAGAACAGAGTTATGTGCAGTGCACAAGTTCATTATCCGAGCACCTGGGTGGTTTCTAACACAACAAAAAGACCACCCTATCAGAAAACAATACATGATCAGAAAAAGGACTCTAGATCATCTCCAAAATCATCATCACTAACAGTGTGGTGTGATCCCCCTGTGGAGCCATGCGCCTGTAGAGTTCTCTTGGT